ATAGATAGATAGATAGATAGATAGATAGATAGATAGATAGATAGATAAAGTGCTTTTAAAATAATGTGCATTGTTATTTTAAGATTCATATATCCTTTATTATCCTGATATTACTTTTTCTCATAATGGCCCTCAAAAAACAATTGTTTCCACCTAACATCAGTTGGATTTTTTTTCAAGAATTAGGAGAAAATATGGGACCAGATGGCTGAGTGGGTAACAGCTGCTGGCTGACGCTTGCACGCCAAATGGTGGAGGGATAGAACTGATGACCAAAACGTATTCTCTGGCCTCTGCACATGCACCAGGATACATGCTCCCCCACAGATAAGGAAGTAAAGTAAACACTTTACATCTTAAAAGAGAAAATAGGAACTGCATGTGGTGCTACACACCTGTAAACCCAACATTCTACAGGCTGAGGCAGGAGGATTGCTAATTTGAGCTTGGACTATGTAGTGTGTTCCAGACCAGTCTGGGCTATATCTGTTTCAGAGGGGCGGGAAAGAGAGAATGAATATGTTGGGTGTAGCTTCTCCCATATCTTAGTTGGAAAGATAAACTATCACTCAAGTCTTGATAACTTAGATAATAATATTTCATAATTCCATTCCCCTTTCTCTCATTCTCTCAAAACAATAAGAGAAAACTAAAATAATAGATACATTATTTTCTAAGCTGATTTCCAGACGAAATATTCAAAACCATTTCATTCTTACTGATGAAGAACTGTGGTTCTTAAATTGAAGAAAAGAAACGGAGTAAACTGTAAGATGAGCGATCCCAAGTGAACCGCTTCAGATGCTCCCTGCCTGCCGAGCATCAGCGTTTCCTGGGCTCTGTCCGCCTTCGCTTCAGTGCTAACCTGGCTTTCCTGCTCCCTGGTGCTCACGGACTGGAGCAGCGCCTGCACCTCCATTTCATGCTCCACCGCTTGTTTATTCCGGTCACTCAGAAGGTCCTGCAGCATCCTCTCTTTGCGCTGCAGGCGCTGGCACAGTTCCTCAGCGATTTCACTCTGACCAGGTCCGAGTTTACAGAGCAATGTTGCGCTGAGATCCTAATGTGAAAGGGATGGTGTGAGTTTCTGGAGGACAGAATTTTCTCTACCGCACATCACAGCACCCATCGTAAAGGAGTTATAAGATTCTTAGGAACAGTACAATGTCTTATCATTTTTTTTCCCCCAAACCTAGCATAGGCCCATGACTTAGAAGGCTGGAAACACATACTCAGTGAAATAGTAACAATACAGAGACACCCCTAGATGGCAGCCTGTGCAATAATTTCTGAAGTAAGTAGTTTTCCGTATGCTCGGGCACACAACTGTTAGTGTCGGGTCGAGCAAAAGGACACTCGGCTCACTTAATTCCTCTGCAGTGTAACTTCAGAGAGGGGGTGAAAAGGCATGGGCTAAAAGGAATGATGCCTCCGCAAGGTCTGCACCTCTGAGTCTCAAGCAGGAGGCTGCAAGCCTGAAGCCAGACTGTATATAAAGCAAGACCCTGTCTGGGAAAAATAAAAGAGGATCAAGGAAAGTATATTCATAGGGAGAGTGATGGCACCAGAGCCCCTAGTCTACAAAGAAATATAGCGTATGGTGCTTAAAACCGTGGAGCCACACGGACTGGACTGAAGTAGCCAAGCCTCTCTGCTGTGCTGCTTTGACGAGTTACTTAACCGCAAACATCTAGGTCTTTGCTTGGAAAGCAGAGTATGCCCCCATGAACTTGTGAGGATTCGCTAAGTTAATTTCCATTAAGCTCTTAAAGCAGAGCCCCACCCAGCAAGCACATTGTAACTATTATAATACGGGTCAGTTATAATGCAGACATGTTTTCAGATCTAATTAATTCTCATATAGCTTCTCTGAGAATGATGACGTGTTAAATTTATAGTTGTAAAAAGAATTCCCAGGGAAAGGTAGCTACTCTCCCAGGCACAGATTGTAATTATAGACTTGGGTCGCTGGCTCCTCAGGCCTCAAGACTTCTAACTGAGCCTGAGCCTCCCTTAGCCAATGCCTGCGGGTTAGGGAGGCCTTGCCTCCACTTCTTTGTTCCTGTCGTGCAGAGATGTCTGCAGCTGCTGGATGATGCTCTCCTGCTCTTTCTGCCAATGGCCAAACTTGGTTTCCGATTCTTCTTTCAGCCACTGGAGGTTTTGACAGGTGGCAGTTAGCTGTTCCACTTCCAGGCTTTTGGCCCTCAGGAGACTCTCCATACTCTACAGGGACACACACAGCCAATGTAAGCCAAAGGGCCACCCCACTCTCCTCAGGATGAGAAATCAGCCCCACCTTTAACTGAGACCCATGTGCCCCTTTTTGTGAGAGGAAGAAGCACAGAATGTCACACTGGTATTTTCTCTTTAAAAATCTGGTTTGTGGAGGGGTAAATATAGATTGCATGATAAAATAGGCCTGTGAGATGAATAATTTCTCTGGCAGAAAAGTGAGTGCTGTCTTTAAGAACGGACAGAGGGCAGCTACACAGGATCTAAAGTATGCAGAGACGCTAAATGTATATTGTAAGAAAACAAGCAGTTATAGAATAGATGCATTGACACCCACGAGGGAAATACAATATAAAGTATGTGTGCACACATTACCCCAGCCATGCTCAGAGAAGAGCGTGTGTGTGAACCCACTTAGTGGACAAGGATGAGAAGTTACAACAGTGAAAAGGGCCATCACCTCCACTACTCCCCCTGTAAGGCTACAACGTAAAAGTGACAGAAGTGCTCCGAGCCTCCCTTTCTGATCGGCAGTGTGTGTGTGGGGAGGTGGGGGGGTGAGTGGATGCGACTTTCCTCTGGGTTTTAATTTTATTTTCCTTTCAAAGCGAATACTCTGGGACTCAGAGGACAGTGCAGGGGCTGGCACTGGAGGCCTGGAAGGCAACGGGAGGCAGGCGGAGTGAGCTGGATTTGGCTCTTACTTGCATGGTGGCTTCATTGGCAGACAGGACACTCCGCAGTCTCTCTAAGTCGTGATCTCGCTCTCTCACAGAGAGATGAAGCTGCCGCAGCTCCTTGTCCTTTTCTTCTAGAGCAGAGAACTTATCATCTATGACCCGCTGCAAGGAAAGTAAGGCTCCTAAGTGCTGGAGGGTTCACTAAACTATCACTTTTGGTCAGTGAGATCCCAGATGAAGAGAGCAGAAAAACGGAGGCCCCCAAAGCAGTCATCTGGACACCAGTTGCGGCTAGGACAACCCGCAGTGCAGTGGGGGGACTGGCTGCGTACCTCTAGAGCCACAGCTCGGTCTTGTATTCGTTGCCGCAGTTTCTCAAGCAACATCTCGTTTGTCTCTAGAGTTTTGTCTGAGTTATCGCGATACTGTAGGAGCTCCTGAAGTTCCTAATGAGATAAAAGTACTTTTCTTTATGGCTGTGGGCTGAGTCTCTTCATTTTTCCAAGGAACTTGTTATTTAGCACACACACACACAAAGTTGGAGATAACAGACATGTAAATTGTTAACACTTCTGCAACAAACAGACTAGCAGGTGAGCCAACATGCTCAGGGAAACGCAGAAGACACACCGCCTGGCTTTTCCTAAAGGTGTCGATAAAGACCTCACAAAAGACTGAGCTCAGCCTGGTGGCTCACCCACCTGTTATCCCAACACTGAGGAGGCAAAGGCAGGTGGATCTCTGTAAGCTGGAGGCCAGCCTGGTCTACATAGCAACAGGTCACCCAGGGCCACATAGTCAGACCCACCTCAGAACAAAACCAAACCCCCAGCAACAAAAAGATATTTCCCAAATAAAGACGTGGCGTGGGTACAACTGTGAGGGAGTGGGAACTATATACAACGATATGTAAAAATTATACGCTCGGAAAGTAAGAGCTTCAGTGTCCCCAAAGCTTAGTAGGTGGCAGAACTGATCACACTTCTTAGTGTGCTATTTTCCCCTGAAGTCTGTAGCAAACAGGTCTTCGGTTTGCTGAATACTGCCTACGCTACATTTGCGCAGTTATTTACCTGCTGGGTAGCCTGCTGCTCGAGTGTATTTTTCTATTCATTGTATGTGTTTCCAATTTTACCGTTCACACTTGGAGCATGAGGCAGGCGTCTGAGAGCTCTGGAAGCCTGGCGGTCATCTTTGAGCTCACCTGAACCAGTTGCTCTTTGTGACTTAGGCTGCTGTTTAGGTGTTGAACAGTCTGCTCCTGGGCTCGAATCTCACTGTATTTTTCTGCCTCCAAAACATGAAGCTGCTGGTTCTTAGTCTGCAATTCTCCTTGGAGGTGTCGCAAAGCTCTTCGTAACTCCTGGGAAAAAATACATCCCCCTTTTAAAGTCTTAACACTTTCAATACAAGCTGGGCATGATGGCAACTGTCCATAATTCCAGCCACTGAGAACCCAAGGACAGAAGGATCTAAAATTCAAGGCCAGCCTAGACAACATAGTTTGATCCCACCCCCAAAACAAAACAGGCAGATAGAAATATATAGAGTAGCAGAAAATGCCATTATTTAAATTGATATAGAAAATGTATAAAGAATACAAATGAAATAGGCTATCAAAGCTTATGAAAATTATAGAATAGAAAGTAAATTTCATATCTGGTTTAAGAGAATAGCTCTATAGTCTACTAAGTGAGGTCTTCACTCTAACCCTGAATCCTTTCCTCGGCTCAATGGGTTCTATCACCTTCCTCCCTAAAGAACTTAGCTTCTTAATTTGCATTATCACCCCAACCCTGCAAAAATACCTGACATTTTAATATTTCTAAAGAAAATTCAGGGCTCATTAATAATTAATCATAATAACAATTAATTTCTGAACTACTAAAATAGGAGACAGCCCACACAAAAAGATCTTTAAAATGAAGAAAAAGAAAAAAAAGAAGAAGGAGGAGGAACCAACCAGAAAGCATGTGCTCCATAACAAGATAGAGCAACTTTTTAAGGATGGTATAATACTTAAATTACATTGCTAATTACGCATGTAAATACCCTTCCTTACTTTACCCAATGCCTTTTCCATTTAATTAACTAATTAGTTAATTATTTGTTTGTGGTGTGCCTGGTGTGCATATATGGAGGTCAAAGGACAACTGTCAGGAACTGGTTCTCTCCTTCCAAGTTCCGGGGTAGGAAGGCTTCTGAGGCAAGCATTTTTTCACTTGCTGAGCCATCTCACCAGCCCACCAGCTCACTTTATCCTTTCAAAGTAACCTCAGCTATCTCCTCTGACTTTTTTCCTCAGTCCCTCCTAGACGTTGCTATGGAAACATAAACCTGTGTCTTTGGCAGTATTTACCCTATTGACATTATGACAATGACTGCCTCTCCTACGAAATGGTAAGTCACTTAACTATAAGTAACTTAAAAAACAGAGCCTCTGATATTCACCTCTGAATTTCCAGGACACAATCTGATCATCTGGCACATGAGCCAGAGGCAACAAACACTGACCAAATTAGACTAAGCAAATGACTCAAGGGCTCGGGTTCAGCACAAACTGTCCTGTGGGCAAAGTCAGAATCCGGAGCAATAAAATGTTTAATGATTTACCTGGTTGTGCTTCCAAGCAGCTTCCTTCTGTTGTTCTCTCTCCTGTGCTGCAGCCTCTACAAACTGCATGCATCGCTTGCCATCAGCCAGTTGGCGTTCTTTCTGGCGCACCAGCCTCTGGAGCTTCTGTATTTCAAGCTGGCTGCAGAATAGAGCACTCTGAAGATCCAGCAGGGCCACCTGTTGCTGAGCAGGGCCGATGCCCTCTGAGGTCTGGAAAGGGAAGATGCATAATCACTATCCTAAGGAGGAACACATGAGCCCCCCCGAGACAACTATGAAACCCAGGCTGACTCAGCTCTGCCTATGGCCCTCACGTACATGAAGTTGTCCAAGCTGGCTCTGGTGCAGCATTTCTCGAAGCTTTGCCATTGTGTCGTTTTGACCTTCAATCACCTGGTACAGCTCCTCTGTCTGACATGAGAGAAGGATAGCGTGCTAATGTTAACAAACCACACATAAATTACACTGTCTCTTCTGTGAGTAACAGAACCATTCCAAAACACCTGCCTAGTGGACAGTTTCCCACCATAAGATTTGCTGGTCTGACAACAATGACTGCTACAAAATACAGAGTGCCTATCTCCTTCCACAGCATGAACTGCTTCCCCATGGGCCTGCGATTACGTAGCAGCTTACCTCACTTTCCCTGCTTTTTAGTGTTTCCTTGAGGCTTTGAATTGTCGTATCTTGCTTCTGAGATGACTCATGGGCAGATTTTAGCTCACAGCTCATTTCATTCAACTTCTCCTGAAGACTCTGAATTCAGCAGAAAATCTCCTATTAGCGCCATGACGACTTTTTACCTGAAGAGCCATCAAACTATACTACACATCTCAGGTTTAAGGAATGACTTAGGGCATACTGCTTTATTTCTTTTTCCGCGCACGGTAACCGTGAGAGTCTGAATATGAAAAGAGGCAGAAACTATGCAACGCTTCCCTCAATGCCAAGTTCTCATGCTCTGCACATTCTTCATGTCAACAGCTATAGTATATTCTCTTGGCCCCCTCAAGGAATGCCTGCTATTTACTATAGGACAGTTTACTATAAGAGTATAACTAAGCGGGAGTGGTGGCGCACACCTGTGATCCCAGCACTGTGGGAGGCAAAGGCAGGTGATCTCTGTGAGTTAGAGGCCAGCCTGGTCTACAGAGGGAGTCCTGGACAGCCAAGGCTACACAGAGAAACCCTGTCTCGAAAACAAAACACCCCAAAAACCAACCAACCAAACAAACAAACAAACAAACAAGAAGTATAACTAGGCCAGATATTCAGGAGCTTCCTTGGGATAACGGCCTTGTAAGTAAACATTAAAATCCATAAGCTAGCTGGGTGCAGTGGTGCACGCCTATAATCCCAGCACTCTGGGGCGAAGAGGCAAGCAGATTGCTGAAGTTCAAGGCCAGCCTGGTCTACAAAGGGAATCCAGGACAGCAAAGGCTACACAGAGAAACCCTGTCTTGAAACAAACAAACAAACAAACAAAAATCCATGAGCTATATAGGGGTAAAAAGTTACACTAAAAAATCAAAAGCACAAACTTCCTGTTTCAGAACCTTACTGCAGAGTTAGAGATTACATGGAAGGTCTAACCTCACTCCTAAAAGGCATCAAAAATTGTGATATGTGTGAAACAAGCTAAAATCCTGCCCGATAAGGAACAAAGGAAAGGGTTGAGCAAGCTTTGAGGACCTGAGTTTGAGCCCCAGCTGCCACATAAAAAGCCAGGCTTGGAGGTGTGAGCTTAGAAGCCTGAGAATGTGGAAACAGATGGATCCCTGGGCTTGATTTTTAAGCCCTGCCAGACAAAAAGACTGTCTCCAAAAATACCTCAAGGGAGGTAGTTCCTGAGGAACAATACCTAAAAATGACTGTTAGTCAGTGTACGAGCGTGCACGTGTGCACGCGTGCACGTGTGCACGCGCGCACGCACACACACACAAGGAAGTAAAGATAAAAGTGTAGAACTATACTTTAGAATGAACTATTCGGTAGAGAACTCACAGTTTTCAACCCCCAAGTCCTACTCTCGGTGATGGAGTTGGCCTAGAGCCGGTTCTGACCTACCTTGTTGGTGGCCTCTGTTTGCTGGATTTTGTCCTGGAGTTCTGCCAGGTGGGAATCAGACACAGACGGCTGGGTTATAGGGGCTTCATTTGAGTCGAGCTTTTGTTGCTTGTGTACCTCTTTAGGCATGGGCTACAGAAGGCAACAGGAAAGACAAACACACTGAGTAAATGCAGCCACAATGCGTCTGATTTTCACGTTCAAACTGGGCCTCCTTTTTCAGAGAGCTGGAACCATAGTTGCAGCGCAGGTGGCCAGGTGTCTTCCCACTGACAGCCCTGTCACTTGTAAAGAATGCTACTTCACTGCCATCCACACCTTCTCCCTTACCACTCCCTACCCACTCACACAAACACGACTTTGTCAGGTAAAGCACGTAACTCAGAACTTAAAGAGAAGGGAGGCTTAATAAAGCATAGAGTAACAACCAGATATATGCTTTATTCTGTGTTTAACCAGGAGATTAATGAAGGCATGAAAGGATCAAAGTTATATTCCAATTTACCTGTCCCACAACAGGCCTGTTTGTGCTGTTGAAAAACCCGGTAGACTTTTTTTTTTTTTTAATACTGGCCATACATTAGAGAACAGCATTTCTGGTCAACAAATTTCCTTAATTTGTACTGCAGTCAATAAGAGATGCCCTTGTCCTCATGAAATACATGTGGCTGTATCTAGAGTAAATGACTTGTTTGGAAGTTATAAAAATGGCGTGCCCAGATACAGGGGTTAAAAGGCAAAATGTGACAAAATAGGAACACTCAATAAATACAGGTGAGGTCATGAGCATAGTGTGAATGAGGTCAAAGTGCACCTGAAGACCAGGAGGGGCTAAAACAGTGGCTACCTGAGGAACCCACCCACGGTGGCCTCACACCCTCCCTCCCTCTGCTAGCCCCTCTCTCCTCTGGAAAACCAAAGAACTCTATTCATGGTTCTCTTTTCCTCACACTTCCAGTGCTTCTCCCCTTCCAGGGCCTGGGGTAATGGCTGACTCTACCTATCACCGCTTCTAACTATAAAACACAGGGTCTGTGGGGAGTATATGCAGATAAATACTTAGTTCTGGCTCCCAACAGTCTTGGTCTACTGAGGAAATGGAAATGGTCATATTTGGAGACTATTCATTTTGACAGGTCATATAAAAAAGGCTCTTGGCAGAGACATAATTTATCTAGATCTAAAATGAGGAATGAGATCTTCAAAGCTGGCTATGATGAGTAAGAAGGAAGTTCAAGATAAAAGGGAGGAATGGGTGGAGCTAATGGATATAAAATATCAACTTTTTTACCTTTATAGGTAGAATGATCTTATAACTGACCACTCACAGTGAGTCATCATCAATTTCTTTCTCTCTCTCTGAGACAGGTTCTCATAACCCAGTCTGACCTCAAAATTACAATCATGCTTCAGCTTCCCAACTCTAAGATTACAAGCCTGCATCACCACACTCAGCTTCAAACCATTGCTAAGAATGAAAGGGGTGCAATAAATTCCATTAGGAAAAGCAGGTACAAATAAGGATGTCTCATTACCTTATTTATAAGCCCACAGATATTTCTGAGCAGTTCATTGAAAGGTTACTTTGTCCCCACTAAATGGATTGATAAAACAAAAATCTTAAACTTCTAAAAGGTAAGATGATTAAAGAGTTACTAAAACATAGTCTCAAACAAAAACAAATGGCAGGAAATAAAACCAGCCATGAGAGTTCTGAGAGCTGATGGAATGACTCATAAAAGCACTCAGGCTTCTGACAGCATCCCCTAGAAGCTGGACTTCAATGCCTGCTTTTACAAGAAAGGGGAGTGAAATGAGCTCATTCACTCTGGTTACGCCTCTTGCTTATCAGTAGGGCCCGTTAACTTCATCTACTCCCTCAATACAGATCTGTTGAGCATTACTAGCAGACACTAAGTTGGAGAAAAAAATACTGTTACAGGACAAAAGTGACTACTCTTGAAGCAGAATTTACAGCACTTGGGTCTGGTGGCTACAGGATAAATAGGGAAATGCAGAGCATCACCTAGCAGCAAGTCCTGTGCAGGGACATTGGAGAGTGGAGAGTATTACAGAGAATTGGTGACTGTTACTATATATCAACTAGAGGAAGGCTCCCTTTGAGACAGTATCCAAATAGACCTCTGAAGGGGAAGTAGACAGTCTTGCTAAAGGCAAAAGAAGACAATTGGGTTGGCAAGAACAGCTGATGGAACGTGAGCCTGGGAAAAGAAAGGCCTAAATATCCAGGAGAAATAGTGTGTGCCACCACATGTGTCATTTTTAACTGTCTCATATCTTCAATGAATAAAGTAAAAAAAAAAAAAAAGTGAACTTAGTTTTGACAATTTGTTTCAGCAAATATATCTAAAACATTACAAATATGATCGATATAAAAATAAGATATTATGTTTTTAAGTATTTAAAATCTGAGGTCTATTTTATACACAGTGCACATTTCAACTCAGACTAGCCACATTGCGAGTGTGAAAGAGGGATTGAGGCAGGCCTTACTAGAACACACTGGACAAAGGGAGAGTAACAGAATCAAGTGTTAAGGGAGCTACAGCCCAGGTCTTACAGTCCTGTACAGCATGGATAATCAAGCTGGACTGATCTAAACTGGCAAGAGAACTGTCTGTAGTGTTTTAAGTACTCACTTTTTTGTTTTTGTTTTGGTGGTTCTGGGTATCAAACCCAAGGCCCTGTGCAGCTAAGTCTCCAGCCCCGACTGTGACTGCAGTGTTTTCTAACAGAAAAACGATCATATTTAAATTTTTTTAAAAAGCTCACTCCAGCTAATCCGTAATGATGGACAGTAAGAGCAGTGTCAGATGAGAGATCAGAATGCAGGCGAAAGGGGGCTGGATTGTAAAGACAGCCGTGGAAGAACTAGGTGGATGGATCTGGTACAGTTAATGTCCTGTTGCTGCTCCAGACAATTGGACGCAGGAAAAGAAGCAAGGAGGATGACTCCCAGAAATACTTGAGATATTTGTTGTGACTACAAGAAGTCTTCCCCAAAGCAATGTGAATTATGTCACATGCATAGCATTACAGATGACTGAAATAGATACACTTCTAATGGACAAATAAAACTGTCAGTGATTCAATGGTAAAGCAGCCTCTCTGAGACCTGGCTTTGTGTTTCCTCCGTGTAAAATAACTGTTCAGTAACATCCACTACAAATTTGAACTCTCAACCACAGCGAGCAGAGTTAAAGCAACTTAACTCCAGGGCTAATAAGACAGTCCAGCTCTAAGGCATGTTTACCTGGCATGCCCAGGACCTCAGGCTCAGACCCCAAATCTAGTGTGGGTATCAAGGAACAGATTCAACATTGAAGTGGCAGGAAGGTAGTCCTATTTATTCGCTTTAACTCAGAGAACGTAGAACTCTGAAGGAAGCAACAGACTAACCAGTTGCCCCAATTCCAGTTTATGTACAAGGAAATGGAAAGCCACAAAAGGCAAGCTGAGATATTCAAGTCACAAAACAAAACAAAAAACAAACAAACAAAAAAACAAGCAAACAAAAAAACAAGCAAAAAAAAGAAAAACAAAAAACAAAAAAAAACAAAAAACAAGAAGTGTCCAGGGAAAACTAAGTTGCAGTTCAGTTGGTGACACAGCTTTTATTACTATAGACTCATTGCTCACCATAATATCAGGAACATTTTAGGGAGCAAACGTTTGTGCTTAATGAATAAGACCAATAAAAACAAAGCAGAACCATAACAGGCCTGGCTCCTACCTACTTCCCCATTTAACATTCTAACCCTTCAGCAGCCCTCTGAGGAGCAAAACCATTGTATGTGTGTGTGGATAAGCACATGTTTATATTCACATATATGTGGTTTCTCTACCTATACATACATAAACACAAGGGCATATGAGTGGCAAACTTTAAAGCAGAAAGCCATAGGCAAGGAATCTGCATCTCATGTGAACTGTCTCAGTGTGAGTCACAGGAAACTTTGGATTTTGTAAATGACTTATTTAAAACATGGGAGGTGCTCGTTTCTCCCTTCATCATTTATTCCTTTACAGCAGAGAAAATGCCTTTTCAGAGAAGCCCAAAGGGCATTTAGTAAGTTCCTCTGAGTCAGGAATGTGCAGTAAAGTTCTTGCGCAGTACGAAGGACACAACAAGCTAAGGGTCCTGGGAAACATCTATCCAGGCAGAAGTCAGCGATCCTTAGCTTAGTAGCATTAGGGTGACCACCAGATACGTGGCTTCCAAGGCCAGGACCTAACCACAGTGTCCTTTCAGATTACTCAAGTCAGGCTGAGTGTGCATGCTTTAGCAATCTGAAAAGGAGAGCTGAGTCCAGGCCCAGCGCTATACAGCACAAGGCTAAACAGCAGTGTTTTGACCTCTGCATCAGCAGCACTTTTCCTGCCATGCTCTAATCCTTACAACAGTGAGTCACAGATCTCAAACTGCTATCATTTTCTAGCCTACTGTTAATCAGCAGAGACAAACAAGAACCACCAGCTAATATAATATTAAAGGTCTAACCTCTGACTAGTATTTAATGTCTACATTTTCCAAAGGGCCTGATCTGCCTAAATATACAGCTAAGGTGTAAGTGGGACAAATTCAGCCCCCCTCCATAAAAAACAGACCTTGACATTTTAAGGTTTGAAGCAAAGGTGTGCTCTTTGAATTTAGACAGACAGGAGCCTGGTGGCTCAGTGCTCTATGAACTGCTGTTTACTAGAAGACCACACCCCCCCTACCGTGGCTTTTCTACTTCAGGCCCAGATGATAAAGAAGGAAATTACTACCCAGAACAAGACCCGAAACTTTCCAGGATATAAACTGAAGAGCCTGGGTCTTCAGGCATAAAGTCCACAGAAGGTAAATAAATGATCTGCATAGTATCAGTAAGCAAGATAAATATACTGTTGCTGTTTACCTTAATATATGGACGAAGGAAGGGGCTGGGTTGGGAGGGAACCAAAGCCCTCAGGAAGACTCTTCAGGCTGATGTACAATACACATACAAGGGGTTAAGTAGAGGATTAAACAAAAGAATCAAAATGACTAAACAGATCAGCTTTTCAGGTGTCCTTCCTATTGTAGGAAAAATTTTGCTTTCAAGGCTCTTGTATCTGCAATCCAAAACAAACAAACAAACAAAAACCCTACCAAAAAATGCATTTTTAAAATTCTACCTACATGTGCTCAGAAAAATAGGTAAAACTGATCTGCCCTTGTCCCATCTGGCTTTGGTTCTATGCAACAGCACAACAGCTATTAAGGAGATTAAAAGCCAATCAGACTTAATCAATTAGATTAAGGTGCAGAATAAAATACATATTTTGATTACAAACACTTTGAGCTCAGGGAAACTATTTTTCCCTGCATCTTAAGTTATTAGAGGAAACATAGTAATCAAATACTCTTTCCTGAAGCTAAATGTCATTTTTCTCTCACCTCCCAATTCTTCATATTAAGTCATGTGACAACAGAAAGGTCATATCCACTAATTTACAGCTCTAACATCCACAGTTACGGTAAAAGGGATTTGAACTAAGAATACAATTACCATAATTTACACACTTATTCGGTTTTCTTTCCAGAAACCCTGAAAAATCCTCCTGGAATATCTGAGATACAGAAAGTGGGTTCTTGGCTTAAAATAGGTCAAGGTAATTAAATGCACAGAATTAAAAGGTCTTGGCTGGAACCAGTGAGGGCTCTTACTTAAACAAGAACTTTCTAACATTCTTAATCAGGGGTGCTCTTGAAAATCTTTCATAACTCCAAAACTGGCTGAGTCCAGGCAACATACCAAAAAATACTTTTCAATTAAACGTGGGGTGAAAAAAAAACTCTCATTTTCCATGGAATCTTCTGGTCTTCAGCTTGCTGTAGTATTGGCCATGGCTGAGAGAAGAAAACAACTTACTTCCCCATCGTCACCTGCCTACTTTCAGATATCATCTGAGATTTGTATAAGTGTTTAATTTGTAGCATCTATTGCCTAGTCACAGAAACACTGCTTGGGCCAAACAGAGCTGGGAGGCTCCACTGGGAAAAAGAAAGGACCTACCCAAGAACTGTGGATACAATGTTCAACATCCACACAAATGAAAGCATTGGGAGTCTGGGGGGATTTGTTTGTTTTTGCTTTTTTTTTATACTACTATCATATGTGCTGTTTCTGATAATTTCTTACGCTTTCTGCTAACGTTCTTATTAGTTTATAAACTTTACATGCAGCCTAACTATGCCTCACAAATCCCGTTTAATTGGAATCTCAACTTCATTCATTACCAGACCATACACTTCTGGACTCCTGTTGACTGAGGACCAAGCTTCCCCCGTAACATCTAGGCTGTCTACCTTTGCAATGGTACCACTACAGAAATTATATGAAATGGAATGTGCCGGATGTTTCACAAAGTTAACTGAATCTAGCATTTAATGTTGCTATGGAAACAAAGTAACATCTCCCAAGTCCCCGGAAATAGTGAATTTAAAAGGGTGTTGTGAAATCAGTTGGATGGTCATGAACAGCTCAAATTAAGTTCACTGCCATTCTCCAGGCATTAAGAAGGTCAAGAGTACAATGAGTAAGTCACTCCTTACTAACAAATATCTTCTAGTAGCAGTCAGTAGAAAAGCTGCCTATACAGTTTTCACCTTAACTTTGTGAGTGACAACATTTGAATTCCCAAGTATTTTCCATGATCAAGTCACCATTAGCTCTCAGATGATCATCAGTTATAACAAACACTGCCCAGATATTCTTCCTAATGCTTTTCTGAAGGATTAATAGGTTTCATCAAGACCCTCTAATCATTTTGAGGCATCTGGGGGATGAAAAGCTTAATGCTCCAGGGAGAACTTGCCAGGTACCTAACTCTCTTACAGAAAGACAATGGAAGATATCATCCACAAATCTAAAAGCAAAAATGGCAAAAAAAAAAAAAAAAAAAAAAAAA